TCGACCACAAATTTACTGTCTAACCATAAAGTTTTATGGCCACAAACACCTGTCTGTTGGAATTTTCAGACAACTTGCTTACTTTGCGGAATTGAACAGATGATGGTGAAAATATGCAAAATAGTGTTGCCAAAGTAAAGCTCAAACAAACAAATTTACAACTCAATGTCTACAGCAAATAAACCTGCAGCAAAAGTTTTTGGCATAGTTTTGTTGTGCTATAAAAGTTATAATCTACAGCTATGTATGTAGTAATGGTATAATAATGGACAAGATTGAGTTTAAAGCAAACGAAGTGATTTTTGGCAAAATTCAAGCATGAAAGGAGAATCAGCTTAGTGCAGGAGTTAATAAAAGTGACATTGATAGATCAACATTGTTAAAGCTTAACTTATTTGCTTGATATAGCAATGCACTGGGGCCGGCTCTATTTTTTGCAAATATTTATTTTCATATTAAATTGTGGAACTTTCTTAACGACTGCATTTTTATTTAAAAACCAATATTTTTCTTTAATCAGCTGTTATTTGCGTAGCTAGTTGTGCTTTTGCATGTGCTACTTCGGTAAACATAGAATATTTAATGTTTTGCATTCAACAAGTTTGTAGCCAAAAACAAAATACATAACTGCTGCGAAAAAGTCTGGCTGAAATTGCAGTCACTACCATTTCCTATGCGATGGGTAATTTACAACCAGCCAAGTTTGCTTTGGCGCATCGCCAATTTTGAAACAGGTGTTATATGTATGTACGAGTGTATAAATTGCTCATTCATGAGTGCATACAAATGTTATTTAATGAAATATATTTATACATTTGAATAAAATTCCACATGAAAGACAAATTAATTGTGACCTGCAAGCGTTAGCTCATTTTAACTAATTATTTTATCTTTCTTTAATTTCAGCAGCCAAACTGGAGAAGTTATTAGAGCGACCAGAACCGACGCCAGGAGTTTCAGAAGGTAAAAAAGTTATAGTTTGATCGTTAAGCAGGTATCACAAGATTTGTCCATTTGTACAGAGTTGTACATTTTGACAGTTACAGAGTAGGCTTGTTTGGAAATTTTTTCATTGAGCTGAACTCATTCTTGATACAAATTTCTAGACAACAACACTCTGACTTCCAAAATATACAACTCTGTACAAATGTACAAATCGTGGAACTCTGCTCTAATTTTTATTTTATTCAAACAATTAGTATGGTCCCGGGTTAATCCGCAAACGAAGGAGAATAGTTGTAACTTCTAGAGAATTTCGGAGTCATAAAAAGGTCCACCCCAGCCATTGCTTTACTGGATCACAAATTTTAATTTGGTTTTTGTTCTCCAGACGCAACTATCCACTTTCTATGTAGAATTGCTCGGTGATTCCAAAATTCGGGTTAATTTTTTTCTATGGATACGTTTTCGAGATATTTGCAATTTACCGTTATTCAGCTTAAAGCAAAAATTGGTTCCTTTTAATCGCGTATATCTTACGAACCAATTTAAAAATGTTAATACAAAATACGACAAATGAAAGATAATGAAATTTTCCGTAAACCCTATATACATCACTTTCCGATAGGGCTTATAGTTTCTGACAAATTAATTCATCATTCCAGCTTTTTCTATTTTTATTAAAAAATGAAAAAAAAATCAAATTTAACAGAAGAAAAATTTAAAAATAACAGGTTCTGTGCCAAATTTTTGCATTTGTACTAAAGCCTGTTCTGTTACAAAAAAAAAAAGAATCAAGTTACTGATGAAGAAAATCGATGGAGAAATACGAAATAATGATTGGTCAAATGAAAAGGCGCAAAGATTTTTTGTATAGTGGCATCCATAGAACATATTTGCTGTAAACCAGTGTAATTGATGGTTGAACGCCAGTCCCTTGTGGGATTCACTTATATTCACGGTCCTAAGTGATACCGCACAGGGTTTACAGTAATGCCCGTTTCGCTAAACATCACTTGGTACTCAGAATCTCCCGTTTTCCTTCTAATGTTTATTTTTTTGGGCTCATCCAGATCATCAAAGAAGTAACTGCGAAAAATTGTTACTCTCCCTTTGCTATTGACGGGAAATGTTAGAAAAGGCGATCGATGGTAATCTTCGTAATAGTTCCAATCAGATAATATTCGGTAAGAACACCAGTCTCAATGCGGATGTCTTGTCTCCTTAGGTCAGGTGAAAACTTTCTGCATTGGGCTTTTATAACTGGAAAAAATGTAATCTTTCATTGACAAATTCTATGAATTTTTAATTTATGTAAATTCTTATGTAACCTTTAACTTTGAAGCTCACTTTATATTTAAAGGTAGTATTAAAATTTATGGTTTTGTCTAAAGTAAAACATTTTATTATCGCTTTTAAATTGGTTTACAACCAAGTAACATACATACTTTAAAAAACGATATTAGAAATGTTTTACTTTATATTAGCTATATATTTCAAAGCAAGCTTTAAATATAAAGTGAGCTTTAAACTAAAGGCTATACTTGAGAAAACGACGCTAAATATTTTTCTTCTCGATCTCCTTTTAGAATGGGGCTCTGGTTGGACTGGACCAAATTTTATTGTGGAAATCGAAGAGACTGGATCTGCCGCAGCAACGAACTCAGATTATATCAGCAGCCACGAAGATGTGACCAACGAAACAGCATTGAACTCCACCGCGGCGGGGAGTGGTAAGTTAACAAGAAGTAAATTAAGATATGTGATGACGATAGATTATAGCTACATATGTGCATACATAGATGCATAGTAGAGGTATACATTGTTATATATATTATTAACGGAAAAGTGATGAGTGCTTGGAGGTCTAGACTCTAGACTATCCAATCCACTAACAGGAATGTGGAACATAAAATGCATTAGTTTATCCATGAACAATTTGAGCATCATTATGGGAATTCTATCAGGAAACTGCAGGCAAACTAGCATAAGCAATACAAATTCTGCAGGAAAGAAAACGAAACTGCACAGCACGTATCGGAACAGTGCATTGCATAGAAGAACAAAGTAAACAAAAAAACTTGGGTGAACATCTTATAACTCAGTGAGAGAATTCATAAAACTGCTCTAAAAGAGGATTAAAATATGGGCGAATAATATATTTCGGAAAATTTCATCTCTTTGAAAAAAAAAGTAAATCAAATCAACTTGAACTTCGTCCCGCCTAAAATCTTTTTTGCCATTTATATCTTGGTTAAAATAAAGACATGAAAACTGCCCATTTTGGGAATATTTTGACAGTTTTTCTTCTGTAATTTTATGAAACAAGGCTATTTATTAGCTGGCAATTTTATGACGAAAAACATGGAACTGTATCGGTTTTAAGGAAATAAATTGGTGGGAGCCATTTAAGAAATGACAAATTTTATGTTTACCTTGGGGAAGTACCCACTTACATATTTTGTGAAGCATGTAAATATATGCATAAAGGGCAACTTGAAGTTTATTCATCATTTGATATAAATATTAATAATATAAAAATAATTTTCAGAGCCTCTCCTTAATACATATATAAAAAAGTGCGATACAAAATGTGAACTAACTTTTTAACTAATCTAGTTCAGGTACATACACTGCTCGAAGAATTTTTTATGTTTGGAATATTTTTAATTTGGGAAAAACTAACTGAATATACGAGCGAATTTTGTATGTGTTCTGAATAATCTTATATTTTCCTGGTATCGCGTTCATATGTACCAGCTGCACTATATGTATCATTAACAGGTAGACTTTGATTATTTTGAGGAAACTAATAATGAATAGTGTGAGGTATAACATTTTTGTTTACCGGTTTGGGGAGTTCTAACTAGTACCTGTGAGTTAATTAAATATTTGTACCTGTTGTTCGTTCGTAACGAGTCAAAAGTCGCTAACAAATTAATTTTGGTTGTATAAAAAGATCACCGGCTTCGAGAATTGCCACAATCTGCAGTAGTTATTCGCCACAAACACATTTTATCTTGAATTATTAAACTCCGTAGCCATGGGCGCACTACAGTCTAAGAAAAAAACTAACAAACGCGACTCTTGCATACAAACGCCAATATTTGGGCGTTACACCATCAAAAATGAAGATACCTTGGGACGCTCTACACCTCTTGCTAAACCAGTTTCTGCATCACCAGCTGGTGCAACTGTCGCTGCTCGAATCGCGACTAGTAGAACAGAACTACCCGCGTTAAGAAAACACCAAAAATACGTTCCGGTTTATGCGCCCTGGATAGAGGCATTTAAAGATTGCGAAACACGCAAGCTCCGCAGCATTTCTCATAAAAAAGTAGAAAGTTCACTTCCGCAGCATGTATCAGCTACAAAACAAAACAGTCAACAAACCCGGATTCCAAATCACACAGGCTCCATGAATGGTGAGAGCCGCAAAGAGGCAAATCTGTGTTATAACATTAAAGAAAACTCTTGCCTGCAACAACGTTGCATCTCTATACGAGAACGACCGCCATCAAAGAAGACGATGGACTCACAAGTACCCGCACCATCAGCTGTTCATGACCAAACAATTGAAAGTTGCTATGGATCTATGCTAAGCAATAGTAATAGTGAGAGTGTTGACACCAACAACAGTAAGCCTATGGAGAGCAATTTACGTGAAGCAGTCAAAGCAGCACACAATGAAACACCATCGAAGGAAGGGCACAATAGTCGCAAGCCACATTTTTTGTACAAGATCACTCCTGAACGAGCGGTCATCGTTGAGAAACTCATGACTGAAATCAAGCAGCACACTGAGAAAAAGAGTGAGAAGAGTAAAGTGAACGTTACTCCGTCGCCAAAGCAACCAAAGCAAGTGATCACTAAACGCTCGCCGACTGCACAAAGTCACTCGCAGAATTTTTTGATGAAGTTACGAAATCGCAGAGCATATATAATAGATAGAATTTACGTTGATGTGCAGAACTCACATGCTACAGAAATGAATAATTGATACTATAGTGAGCAGTTTAAACTTTTAGTTCCTTTGTTTTCAAAAATTGTTATCTTAAAATAAACATGAATAATTAAATTGGTACATTCCATTTGACTTGTAGGTAAAGTAAAAAATCATAAAGTAGTTACCTCTAAGTAAAATCTTGGTATTGTAGTGTTTAGTTCGCAAATAAATCTCCCATAAACTTTCGCTATAAACTAGGAGTTTTTTCATGGCTAACCTGACGAAGGGAACTTTTAGTGAAGGCATTATAGTTATTTTCGATAAAAGTCTGGGATTTATTTTAGTATGACCTTTGATATTGAGGACTGCCATTGGAGAGAACATATTTGGTCCGTGGTTTTCTTAATATTTCAAGACTTCAAGATTTTCTTATGATTTTTGGGAGGTTTTAGGAACTTTTGGGACTTTTCTGAATCCTTTTGCTACCTTCCACGATTTTTCAGAACTTTTTGGGGTTATTGCAAAAATTAAAAATAAACCTAAAACGTTTTGCTATTAGCTTCTGTTTTTCAATGCGTTCAATGCGGCAGACGTTTTAGTTACGCGGAAAATGGAAGAGGCAAAATAAAATTCGTTTGTTGTGCGCCTTCGGCATATTGGAACAAAAACATTTTTAATATAAGCTTAAACAGCTTGCTTTAAGTTATTGATTTAGCTTTTGTTTACTTTATATATACATACATATGTAGGTACTGTATAGATTAAAGCACCAATCCATACGGAGCTGATTACATGCATAGTATTGTAGTACAAAGCTATACATACATACATACATTATATCTCTACTAATGCAAACAAAGGTGACTTTAAATTATGGGCAATGCAAAAAATAAATGAACAAAAGAAAATAAGTTAAAAGAGAAATGATGTTTGTTTACGTTTTCAAGCCTGTTATACACTTGAAAAAGAAAGTAAAGAAATACGAAATTGTGTTAAAGCCGGTGAAACAATATTTGACGAGTTGGAACCCCTACATTTAAAGGAATGCGAATTCAGCATCGTAACTAAATATTATATACGTTAGGGTGGTCCAAATATACACAACTTTTAGAAATCTTCCCGCTGTCACCACTATAACTAAAGAATATAGAAAATAAGGAGACCCGATTTGTTTTTTAATTTCGAAATCTCCACTTCTGGAGGGTGCTGAAAACAAAAACTTGGGACCGCCCTAATATAAGTAGTATCTAGAGAACACCTGTAGCTAATTGCGTCGCGAGCGACAATCGATCGATACCGGGGGCCTTTATGAAAGGAAGACAAGAGTGGCAGAAAGTCCAGTAAACTTGAGCAGGGCTTGAGATGTTGACAGAATTATAAACTAAAAATTCCACAAAGTAACTAAGATAAGACAAAGACGGAATTGCGGTATTTTTGCAGTTGACTTTTAATTAGTTTATTAATTTTTTGGGTGTACTAGAACAAGAGACATCGCGACCTAAAAGATCTTTTGTGTCTCTTAAAGAGAGTCCCTAACCCATTGTGGTCAAGATACCTTCGGCTCCCCTAATGAATATTAAAAGGGCCTTGGTAGGCGAATTCCTTATAACAAATGGTTCGACCATTAAAGATTCAAAATAAATCAGTCTTTGTCTGGCCAAAGCCGGGCAGTGACAGAGAATATGAATATGCTCCGAAGTTTCATCACCTTCGAGGCAGAGCCGGCATTGCGACTCTGCGATCGCATCTATTTGACGAAAGTGGAATTTCAATTGGTTATGGCTGGTCAGGTACCCAGAAAGTAGCCTGATGGACGTATGGTAATAGAAATACGAAAAAAAAATTAACTGTAGAATAAAATAGTGAAAATTTAGAGCTCATAGGCATTTATTACCTTCTCTATGCAACAAAAAACACACAAAACTAAAAATAAATTAGTCATGGTTTCACACTTGCTAGAAGGCCAAAAATTTCGTGCATGAAAATTATGGAAATAATTTCCAGTAAGGTAGCTATGTATTGTGTTATACATACGTAGGATATGTATATATATGCCACGTGGCACACACATGTGTTTGACAACCCAGGACACGAAAAAGAGCGGAAATTATATTCCTTTTCCCAGCCAAAGGTGAGCGTAAAGATCAACGCGCGTACGCAATTTCTACTCAAACCGTTGCCGCACGTGATTTGTACATATGTATGTCTATATGAATGTATGTAGATACATACATAAGTGCTTAAACATACATATATTAAATATATATAGTTGCTAACATATGTTTAAATGGGAAAGAGGAAATTGCTAACAAGAATGAACGAATATACAGTATCGGTCATATCTATAGCACGCCATTTCAAAATGATATATATATTTTTAGAAATTTTAATTAAAATACAGTTCATTCACTAACAAAGCCCATATAAACCCAAGTATAAAACTTTATAGAAAGCTAAATAAAAAAATGCAACACATTTTCACCAAATTTTTTCTCAGCAGTGTTGAAATTGTTTCGAGTATACAGTTTGTAGTCCATTCAATTTCAGTGTGATAATATGCAAGTTTCAAGTGGCTAAAAATTACCGTTGATTTTTATAATTTTTTTTTTTGCCGAACATGTTGCGGTTTTTTCATATACAAATAAATTGTGTTTATTCATTACATGGAAGCAAATGCGATAAAAAAATTCTAAAAAAAATCAACGGTAATTTAAGCAACTTGAAACTTGCGCATTATCACACTAATATTGAAAGGGCTATAGCACTGTGTATTCAAAACGATTCTAACATTTTTGAGAAAAAAGTTTGAAATTTCGGTGAAAATTTTTTGCATTTTTTGTAGTTGTCTACGAAGTTTTAAACTTGGGGTTTTACGGGTTTTGTAAGAGAATGAACTGTATTTTAATTGAAAATTCTTAAAATTAAATAAATAATCCTAAGTGGCAACCAATATAACTTTGAAATGGCGTGCTATAGATATGACCTATACCGTACATACATACTTAGACACATATGTATATTAGGGTGGTCCAAAATAAGTAAATTGGGATTTTTAAATGCTTTCACCCGCTAGGATTATTATATATCGAAAAATATACCGATTTTTTATTTCGAAATCACAATATATTTAGAGCAAAGTTTTCCATGCATTTTATATGGGAAAGAAACTATTTTTCGTGGAAATGGTGCAGAATTCTTTAAAATAAATATTTTTCGACCGAAGAACTTTGTTTGTCTTCAGGAGACTTCCAAAAATAATAAATAATTGTTTGTTTAACCATTTTTAATACCAAAATTTTTTTATTTAACGCCCATTGCATTTTCTGGGGGTTTTGACGGACTTATAAAATAAAAAATTTATTTTGAAATAAAAGAATATTTTGAGGTCACTCAAAGCGCTCAAACTTTTTCATGTACTTTATATGAAAAAAAACAACTTTTCTACAATAGTTTTCTTGGAAATCAATATTTTTCAATCGAAAAACTTTCCTGAAAATACCAATAACAATACCCAATTGTTTATTTAAACAGTTTTTAATAAAAATATTGATTTTCAAGAATTCTATATCATTTCCGGAAAGGTGTTTTTTCCCCATATAAAATACATGGAAAATTCTGAGCGCTTAGAGCGTCATCTAAATATTTTATGATTTTTAAAATAAAAAATAGGGCCATATTTTTTGCGGTAGAGAACAATCCGGTGAGAGCATACAAATCCGACTATACTTTTTCCCCCACCCTCAAGCATTTCTGGACCACCCTAATGTACATACATAGGTAATTTGATCGGCGATGGGAACATCAACGGTATGTCGTTGACAAGCGTGGTCGACTTCGTGCCGGATATGTGACTCTCATGAAATTCAAGGATATTTTTCTGTTTACACAACGTACACATGTTTAAAGGTATATACAAAGTTATATATACATAACTGCTTGTATATATATAAATATTCATATTACGACAAGTATTTATCTTCTCTTTTGCCACGTGTGCTTACGTATATACATACATACACATATGTATATCGAATTTAATGGCATTAACCATTTCCCGTATTATCCTGCAACTGTTACTTGGTTGCAAGTAATTAAAACAAATTACCAATATATCCACCTGCCATTACAGTAGTAATTAAAAGTCGTTGCAGTGATTTGTACAACAGCGCGACTCATTGACTTCATTACTATTTGCTGCTGTATTTCCTCAACGCGCGCTGCCAGACTAGCCATTACGGGTTGTTTGTTTTTCTTTAATGTAATTTTCATTACATTTGTCTCCGTTTGTCATTTTCAAAGTCAATTTTAAAAGACAAATTCGCAACTTAGACGCTACGCTAGTAGCTTGGTTATTTTGCTTTCATTGATTTTTGCTCTAATTGAAATTGGTGTTCAGTACAGTCTCACAAATTGCTTGAAATTTAATTGGTGTAAATGCATTTGCGGAAAAAATAGTGATATTTTCACATCTTTCTGGTTATAAGAGTACCTGGTTGCGAATTATTTATTATTCTCTATTGTTGTAATCTGTGTAAAACCTATAATCGCATAACTAGATAATCTAATAAGAAGACAGTTTGAACACCCAATATTTATCTGATCGTTGCTTTTCTTTTTAATCGAATTTCAAAGGTACCAAAATCGTCGTGCGACCAGAGGAGGTAATCATTGTTGGCCTCGTATTGATGCTTTGGGTGGGCGCCATCGTTTTGTTCTTTAACCGTTGGGGTAAAATACGTATGCTGGAACCGTATCAACCGAAATTTCAGCAACAACATCGGTCTTCCTGTCCGCTGGTCGATATGGACGCAATACCAACACATGGGGTGAGTATTTTGTGAATGTAAATTATATATTACATAAGTATATATATATACGATGACTTATCCGTCATCCCTTGTCAAATTTGGTTTGGAGACAAACCGGTTTCGGCGAAGTGCCATCTTCAGTGTCATTTTCGAGAACGAGGAAGGGATGCCGGAAACTCCTTCCAAAATACATCGTATACAAACCTTGCCTGAAACAACAACAACCAAAAAGAAAGTATATATATACCTTTCATAAACATGAAAGTACCAGATGAAGAAGAGATACACCCCCGAAAGAATTCCTATGAACATTCAGACTCATTTTAGATTCAGAAAAGTTTCAGATTTTTGAGTTGCAACCCTCATTATGACCTAAAAAAAGTGTCAAAAAGAGCATTAGAAAGGCCTTCCAATATGGGCCCAAGTTAGGAGCCATAGGAGTCTGAAATATGACGCTTTCTTAGTCTTAAAAACCAACATTTCTTACAATTCTGGTTATTAAAAAAAAATTTACTTCTACGTGAACTTTGTTACTTTTGTTCAACTCAGCATTTAAGACACCAAAAGAGTCCCAAAATGAGCAAGTCTGGTTGATTGGTCTCAGAATCATATTTATGAAGAGAGAAAGACTCATTTTAGACTCATAAATTCTGAGCGCTCAGAAAATTTTTAAAGGGATATATCAAAACGATTAGAATGTCTGTCTGTCTGCGTGAATAGAATCTATTGCCTCAGTTTTCAAGGTATACGACTGAAATTTAGTAAGCGGGTGCCTTTTTATGATGTACCTCACATATAACAGATTGTTCTGATATGAGATTTTAATAGGGAAGCTGTCCTAAGCAAAAAGACACCTACTGTAAGCTCTCGATAGTAAACTGAAGCATAAAGTTATGGATTTCCCTTGCTACCAAATATTCGGGTTGTCAAAAGGCCAAGAGATACATTTCTGCAGCCAGGTCAAAAGTTTGAGTGAGACTGCAAGATTAAAAAGTCCTTCGAAAAGCTGAAGCCATCCCAGAATTTTTCAAGAAATAATGAAGATTTCTTAACAGGAGATCATCAAAATTTCGAATACTGAACTAGGTTCACTGTCAAGTAATTTTGTTTTCGTATCTATTTCAGCGTGCATCTGTGTCTCGTATGTCAATGGGCCTAGTCAATAACATCAATATGCCAACATGTCATTTCGCTGCATATAATCCCACGATATATGCTAAAGGTAAGCATAATTTTTCAAGTCTGATTTTGAATTTATTTATGTTTAAATTTTATAAATTTTTCTGGTCCGCTACTTATGTATTTTAGTTTTCAATTTATAGTTAAGCTTTTTCAAATTTTCTTAGTACCGTTTTCTCATGTACTAGGTTTTTAAATCTATCTAACCTTCAAACACATTTTTTCAGAATAAAATTTGTGTTTAAAGGGCAATTAATTTTAAAACCTACAACAACTTTCTTTGCCACAGCAGCGACTTAACATAGAAAGGTGCTTGTTTGATAATCCACAACTACTGTCTAACGACATAAATTGTTAATTTATTGAAGCTTAAATATTGCACGAAAGTTGGTTGCTCCCTGATGCCTTATCGTTGTTCAAAACACGCTTTCGAGTGATTCATGTACTCGTACATGCATATCTCCATGTGTATGCATTCATTGACATACATAAGTATTTATGCACATAAGTTTGCATACCAAAGTTTTCTTCGAAGCAACCACATGAGTGTGCTTTTTAATATCCCTAATACTTCAACTCACTCACTGACGTTGATAAATGATTACACAATTTTTCTACACACCTCCCACTGGTCAGGCACATTCATTTGAATGGAATTGCATAAACAGACATGCAAGTGAATTTGCAAACAAATGAATGTACACATGCAAAACTCCAAACGTTACTTAGTTTACATTTACCCGCCCGCATTCCTGCAAAAGTATTGAAATTGCACTCAAGCACCAACTATTAGGGAAATGTTGTAAACATGGACTGCAGAAATGAAAAGCAGAGAGCCAAACAACATGGCTTGCATAAGCAGAATTGCAACTTGCATATCAACAAGCAAATCACTGTCTGTATATATTTACTATGTACATATGTATGTATGTATGTATGTATGCATGCACGAAAAGCAAATGACCTAACCCAATTGGCAAAACAGTAGCGGTTCTAATTAAATGCAATCTTCGAATAGTCCTGTCATTTGAAGGTAGATAGGAGCAGGTGTTCCTTTCAAAAAGCAACGGGAGTAAAATAAAGAAAACAATCCCATTAGGCGCCGGGGTTCATATCTGGAGTCAAGTTCAATTCGCACAATGTCTTTATTGTTTTTTTTTTCCTTTTAAAGGAAGCTGAATCAGGAAGTTTTGAAACTTTAGGCTTTACATACAAAGGAGGAAAGAATCGAGAACCGAAGACTTGACCCTTCAAGAGATAAAAAAGAATAGCCTACTGGGAAAATAGTTACATACGAATGTAAATATGTAATAGATGAGCATGCACATTAGACCAGATCTAACACAAATTTTTGTTTTGCGCATGTGATAAATCCCTGAGACTGTACAGAGTATGCCTCTTATAATAAAAAGCAAAACTTTTGAGTTATCTGCTTACTTTTATATACCACTTGTTCTATTTTTTATTTTTAGAGCAAAAGTACAAGGCAAGAATTACTTAATATTTGTCCCAGCATAAAATATCCGGTGATTTTTCCTTTTAATTTGTAGGCATACATTAAAAGCAAAATAAAAATACTAATGTACTTTTGGGCCTTAGAATCCCGAAAAGCCCGTAATAAACACGAAGAATCCCGAAGTATCCAAGAACAACTCCAAAATTTATCCATTTCTCGAATTATTAACACAACCCGTAAGTTTCGCAAAATTCAGAAAAAAATCCTAAAGTTACCGAGAAAGCCCAAAAGGATACCTAAAACTATGAGATAAAGAATCACGAAAGTGCCATAAAAAATACCGAAAATATAAGTACGAAGAACCCCGAATATTCCGCAAAAATCCTTAAAAATTCCGTAAAATTCCGAGCACATCCAAGAAGATCCATAAAAATAGGCAACGAAGAATATCGAAAAGTCCTGAGCAAGTCCCAAAAGTTTCCGAAAAATCCTGAAAAGTAAAAGAAAAGAAGAAGAGAATACCAAACGATCGCGAAAAATAAAATACTAAGAATCCTGAAAAATGTTTGAAAGGTCTAACATGAAGTTACCGAAAAAAAAATCCAAAATTTAGGGGACAGGTAATAAGGTCAATGGAAATAAGGTCAATTGACTTTATTT